CTTTCAGTGAAATGACCAGATGTCTCAGAAAGCCTGGAGCGATGCTGGCATCAGGAGACTTCGCCCCCATCCTGAGTGACTGCCGACTGAGATGCCAATATGTTCTGGTTTGTAATGGATGATTGATTTGCAAGGCTGTTTTGCTCTGATTCTCCCTTGCTTAAAGAAGCATTGGGCCATGCTTTTTATACCAAGCCAGTCTGCAGCCCTGTGTCCAATAAATCCAGTCATATCCTTCTTCTAACTGCTGTTTTGTTCATGATTGGTATTTTATATTTTTTTGTCTTTTTTTTTTTTTTCTTCCCCAGAATAACATGAAGCTTTAACAGCAGTAAAATTACACAGGGAAAAGTCACCTCAATAGCACTGAATGTAGAAGGACTGCTCATGCTGAAGCAGGTGGACATGGACAGGGCACCACAATTTGTCCACTGTGCAAACCATTCTCCTCTCTTCTTACCCTTCGTATCCAGGCATCTGACACCCAAACCTCACAAGGTTCCGTGAGTCCTGTCTTCAGGCATGCACTGTGGGCAACGCAGTGGGTGAGATGCCTCAGAGCTGGTCCTGCTGGGCTTTAAAGGTGGGCAGCCTCCATGTGTGCTCAAGCATCCATTGCCACATCCAGACAACTGTTTCCCTGTGTATAACCCCTTACCCTGAGAATATTCCCTGCTGAAATATCAGCACACACCTGATCACCTTGGGGAGAAGCCTTCAAGTAACCAGAAAGCCAGAGCCTGGGCTGTAGGGATGGCTGCATTAAGACCGTATGTGGGACTTGGAGCTGTAACTTTCCATTCCCAGTCCCTTGTCCTTTCACTGAGGATTGAAGTGTAGCTTGGTTGAACAATAGGAAAATCAGTAATTTAATCCTTTCCAGTTCCCGGGAGTTTTCTTAATGCCTGCTACAAATTAATTATGCAACTTTTACAAATATCAGGGACTGAGCTCTTAATATCTGATGCAGAGGAGACTGTGCTAAAACATAACCCACCAGCACACATGGTATTCAGCCTTAAAGACTAATATGCTGCTCTGGGGAAAGAAAGGACTCTCAGGACAAACAGGCATCAGATTCTCAATATTTTAGACAGCAAACAGGCTCTTGCTTGAACAACACTCATGAGCAGTTGGCTTTTAGGTGCCAAGGCTATGAATGTTGGATTGCTATTTTGTTTTTCTTACAGGGCTCTGGAAGGAAATCCTTTGGGAAGCAATAGAATGCAGTGACCTACTGTGTCCTTCATACACTAAGGTGAGTTTGAATTTTACCACTGTTTTCAAGGCAAATAGAGTCTGCCTTAATCTTTTTTTTTTTTTTTTTTTTTTTCCCCTTCACTCTGGGATCATCTTCTCACTCAGCTTTTTGAGGAACAAGCATTTTGTGTCAGGTTCATATTTGGAAAGATATACTCAATTTCAAGTATCCGGATGCACTGGGAAGCTCCTCAAAGAGGATTTCAGATGGATCCTCCATAAAATCCTCCACGAGACTCCTTTTGTGTAGAAGAAATAACGCTCTTCATCCAGAACGAGGGAATCCTGCAGATGAACAGCTTACCCCTAGAGGTCACTGCGATCCAGGGATTTCAGTGAGTATCCACAACACGGAGCCGAGCTGGGGCCTGGATCCTGCAGAAGGGAAGTTTGTCTTCACGCTGGCTTGGGTGCTTGGGAAGTCTGTTGGCATTTCATGGCCCTCGTGGCCCTGCTCTCTTTTTCCTCTTTCCATTGCTCTCGCTTGCTCGGAGTTTTAAAGCTTGCCAATGAGAATCCTGGAATTCACTGGCACAGGTTGCCCAAGGAGGCTATGGATGCCCCATCCCTGCAGGCATTCAAGGCCAGGCTGGATGTGGCTCTGGGCAGCCTGGGCTGCTGGTTGGTGACCTGCACACAGCAGGGGGTTGGAACTGGATGAGCACTGTGCTCCTTTGCAACCCAGGCCATTCTGTGATTCTATAAGAACCAGCCGGTAAACCAACAGAGCTCTTCCTTTCCCACCCCCTTTCCCCTCCCCAGTTATTATTATTATTATTACCACCATGACAGTTTCACCATGACAACTTCTAGGTTTCTTCAGAGCAAATTCTTCACAGGAATGAATTTTACTGTGCTGGTCAATTTGGGCTGTGTTTGATTTATCTCTCTGTCATGATTTGCCACTATCTCTGTATTTTTCAGCATATGATTTGAGATTTTTTTTTTGAGTTAACTCTTCCATTTCAGTGCAGCTCTGTGGTAGATGTCAGTGGTAGGTGTATGTTGGAAGCAAGCTGGTTCAGAAGCATCGTGGTGCCTGGTGAACTACTGTCTCGCATTTTGATTTTGAAGGGGAGTAGAGTGGGTCGGTATCGAAATGCCCCGATTGCAGAAAGTCTTTTTCAGGATTTTCCAAGTCTGGTATACATTTTGAAACACCTGTGAAATGTGATCTTCTTCGTCTCGACTCCAGGAAAACAGATATATTTCAAAACAGAAAAAAAAAAAAAAGCTAAAAAAATACTCTTTTTTGACTCCCGCTTTTCACAATATTTTGATCATATTCTGCCCACTGCCCGCTGAATTTTCTCTAAGCAAGTTCTACTGTAACACAAGTGCATGCAGTCAGAGTAAGTGAAAGAAGAGTTGGACGAAACTTCCTCCATAAAAAAACCTTAGAACTTGGAAAAAGATCCGTGGCTTGAAATAAGTGGAGCTGGATAGTCCACGGTCCCTTCTGTATGACATCCACCATCACTGAATAGTGCAGAATTCCACCTTTGCATCATATGGCAAAATATGCAAATTTCTATGAATAATGGATTTAATCCTATTAGAAAAGAGATTAAAAGTAGTTAAACATGTCAACCTTGATTCTGTTCTATGACTTGTTAGCAGAGACAGAAGTATATGCTTATCCAGCTGATGAACTATTGTGGCATCAGCAGCCACGACCCTCCCTTGGGAACCTGCCATATTTGCAAAACCTGGCTGTCGTGCTTTTCCTTATCTCAAATGACTTTCAGTATAGCATCAGCTATCTCATGCTATACGCATGCCCACATGTTTTGGACTGGCCAAGCACTTGGAGGAGAAAACACAAGTGCAGAAAGGATGTGGTGTGCTTTTTGTGCATTGCTTTGCAACTGCTTCTTGGTAAGTCCTTTAGCACTAAATACAAACTCTCTTAATTTCTTAATTGCACGAGATTCAGGCAGCTATGCCTGTAAGCACTGTGTATATGATGTGAGAATGACCAATTACTAACAGAAATATAAAGATCCTGTTAGGACAGCATAAAAATTATCAAAATTGCAGGCGCCGAATTCCTAAAATATCTACTATCTGACCAAATACTTGAAATATCACAGTGGTGTGAAATAGGGCGTACTGTGGAGCACTGCACAGTTGTATGGAAAAACAGAAGAAATGCCACTGCCATAGTTCACAAAATAAAGATACGAATTGAGAAATGAACCAATTATAGGTTCCCTAAATGAGTGGTATATGTTAGTGGAGGGTGGGATACATGCATAACACTTAAAGGAGTGCAAGGACTGAGCTGAGGGATAGAAAGATATGATAATATACAGCTCTGATCTCCTTCTGTTTCTTGCAAGAAAAGAAAAAGGGAAAAAATGTTATTTTTTCAGGTCAAGTGAGGCAAATTGAATGTAGGGCCTGCTCAGAAGAAGGATTTGCAGGCAGCTCAAGCACACAGCGTGTGAGGTGCTCAGGTGGCTACAGTGAAAGTGCTCCCTCTGAAAAGGCTGCAGCTGGTCTGGAGTCCTTCTGAACTGCTTCGTGAGCTCCCCTCTGCTATGTGACTTGACATCAGCATGAGGGAGAGTGGAAAAAACTAAAAATGTGTGTATTGGCACATTGTGTGCTACATGAGTAGTTTGATAATGCATGAATTTACCCCACAGTCAATTATCTAACTATGTAAAAGTTGTTTTATCTTTTTTTTTTTTTTTTTTTTTTTTTGCATTATTTTTTTTTTTAATTTTAATTAAAAAATAGACATATATCTTTAGTTCAGCTGCTTAAGTGGTTGGCGCTTATGGCCCTCCGAAAGATCACTGTTATACTGCAGAAATACCAAATTACTAAAAAGCTACTGAAAGGCCACTCAACCTCAGCGCTTTCTGCCTCTTTCTTTCAATCTTTCCTTCAGCATGGAGTGCTTCACTTTTTGGGAGCTGGGTTTTCTCTGCATGACAGAAATGCTCTTTCCACAGTGTGGGTTTATCAGTTGTCTTCACTGCTTTGCAAACGGTTTTGCTCTCAGCTCTCACAGGAGGTGAGGACCATAACCATTTTTAAAGAGGCCATGGCACAGGTCCTCCCGCAGCCCACCTTGCCTCTGGCTAAGAGGTGTATAACTCAGGAGAACTCTGTGTCCTACTTTCTGGATTTTTCCACTGCTATTTAGTGAGAGAACAGTGTGTTTTATCATTTAGCCACGACATATGATGGGGCGAGGAGATCCAGAGAGATTTCTCAAGGCTGCCAAATTCTATGCAGTTCTGAGAAGGATATTTCTTACCAGTGAGAAGCCCTCCCATTTCTTGCTCCCTTCTCAACACCAAAAATGTATCTGTTCCTCTCTCTAGGTCAGCCTACTTCCTGGCAGCATCACCACAGTCCAGAAGAAATAGGATGTTAAAGGGAAGAAAAAGCACCAAACAGGACAATTTCATCAGTCCTCAGCAAGCACCCCACCAAAAAGGCCAGCAGCACCAGCTTCTCTGCTGTTTTGCCCTAAACTATGCTTTCTCATGGATCTGTGGGGTTCCTGCTGCAAGCAAGACCCTATTTATACTACACTACACTGCCATCAGCTCGTGGTCTATTTAAAAGGGTTTTGTTTTTGTTTTTTTTTTTCCTAATGTGAGGCAGGGAGGAGGAGGAAGAATCCTCTTTAAGGAGAGAGAGCTGTACCTAAGTAACAACAGGTTGGAGCTTCAGTAGTCATCTGCTGCTGCAGGGAAGGGGGCTCACCAGGTGCCAGGGTAGGCTCCCTAAATGCTCTTGATGTCCTATCTTCTCTTACCACTGGGTAGGAGGGCAGAAGATTACTGAGTGGAAATGCCTGTGTTTCATGCTGGAGATATAATCCAGGCAAGAATTGTTTTCTCCCCTATATGACTACCATGCTAGACTTAAATTCACCTTGTCGAAGAGTGAGCACCTGCCACTTCTTGAGAAAACCTCATCTCTCTGATGGTCCCTGGGGACCAGAGGAAACAAACAGCGTGGCAGCTTGCTGGGGCACTTGCTGTTAGCAGGATAAAAATGCAGCAAAGGAGGCCTATTGAAGTCCCACAACAATAGAAGCCAACTGCTGCAGTGAGAAAGCAGCCATTTGTTGTGCCAGCTGCAGCCAGGGACAGCAGAGGGAAGGAACAAGGGAGCAAGTGTGGATGAACGTGAGTGGCCTTCAGCTGTGCTACATCCTAATGCAACTCACCTTTTTGCCATATTTCAATAGCAAAAAATGGGGAAAAAGGCAGGGAAAGGTAAAGAAATGAATGTTAACCTTCTTTTGTGTGTACCTCTTGAAATCCATACTGATGTCACTGCTGCTTGCTGAAGATTGAAATGTCCTCTCAGAATCTGGTGCCAAATGTGTGCTGTCCCGTATGTTCATTTTGTTTTTGTGTGCTATCACACAGTGCCTTTTTCTTTCTCTTCTTGGGCATAGATATTATTTTCCTGCTACTGGTAAAGTCAGATGTGGCCCCTTCTTGTTCCAGTTCTGGGGGAAAACCTGGCCCTAAAACAGCATTTGCTGAGGAACACACCAGCTGAGTCATGAGCTTTTATTTTCTGAGTGTTCTGTGCAGTCAGAGAGAGAGGCCTTATTTTGCCTCTAAATTTTACTGTGGTGGACTTCCTGTTCTTCATGGGAAGATTTCAGCTTCTTGGATAAAGGCTGACATTTTCTAGGTCATAGCTCTGACTGGATGATAGATTGGCTTCTCTCCAAGAAGTCCTTGCCCCTGCTGTGGACTTTTGTGTATGAAGCTGAATATTCGTTCTGTCTCTCTAAATGGAATTTTCAGACTTACAAAAAAATTCCCATCAATTTCATTTCAGTACTTCAGTACTTTACATGTTGTGCAGGATGCATCTCTGTTGGACAGTGACATCAAGTCCAAGGATCATGTACCAGAGTGCACTTTCCTCTCAGCTCTTGCCAAACTGATGTGCAAATTCTGCTTTAGTGACTAAACAGTGGAATCTCTATGCCCAGGCTTTTCCCCAGAGCTTTACCTCATTAGGCTTCAAGCCTCAATCAAGATTTGCTAACCAGATCTATTCCTAAAGTGGAGTAGTGACAGGAACATGGGATTGCCACTCCTGAGTTGGTCAGATTGTGTGAAGGATGCAGCACTGATAGGGAGCTTCAGGTATCTTAAGACAACACAAAATCCTCCTGAGATACAATGAAAAAGTAGAGTGGTAGATATCTAACAGTCATGAAAATAATACATCTTTGAAAGGGAAAATGAAAGGTTTGAGGGGCAGGTCCTTACAACAGATATTACTAGGCAAGGTTCTCAGAGGACTGTAAAGAGTTGACTGTGGTCTACTTTGTTCATAACTGGCCAGTCACCATTACTTCAATGGGAGAAGGGTAAAAAAATAAAAAGTTCTGGAAACTGTGCAGAAAAATTGGATGGGAACAATTGAGAAAACTGCATTTCTTCTGGTCTGCTTAGGTGACCATAAAAAGCACTGAAATATGCAGATAATGAAACTACTGCAGATCACTGATGGGTGAAGGTCTTCTTCCAAATACTCTGGAGAAATTGTCACGTCAAGAATCTAGGGATTTTGACTGGAAGCTCTATTATCTATTACATCATTCCTTCCATAGATCCACGGGGCAAATTAAATGAGAGAGTAGAAATACAGGTTGAGGAGGTGGATGATATAAGACATAGCTAGAGAAAAATAAAATAAGAACTTCCAAACATACAGGGAGAAATTCTGATGTCTTCTCCTCCGCTATGATGGACAGTGCATATAGTTGGAAAAATGAAGCAAAATAAAGCAAAACCAAACCAAATAGATGCCTTAGTCCTAGCCCCTACAGCAGCCATTCTGTAAGGATCAGTGCTAGATAACTGCATTAAGATTGTGAAGCCCTGTGGTCCAATCTTCAGAGTCATAAGATGAGATGTAAAACTGTGTGAGGGCATTGCATCAAGCATTATCCAGTTAGCTTGGAGATAGCAGCCAGAAAATCAAGCATTATAGCTGATAGGCTGAGCCTGTTCCTTTGTTGCACTGCATATGGTGTTACAGGCAAAATTGAGTTAGCATCAAGATGATCTTACTGGTTATTTACTTATTCTTACTTAGATTTCATGTATGAGTTTCTTTTCATGTATATTTATAGAAACAGCAAATTTGAAATGAATGTTAAGAGGAAGAATAAAACTTAAAAATACAATTATTTATAAGCATCCTTTTTCTGAGAGCCACCCTGGGTAAGGAGACATGAAACAAATAGCTTGTGTTTCAGTGACAACAAGTTGAACCTGCTCAAAGTGACAGATCAGATGGCTGTTCAAAATTGCTTATGAACCATAGTCTGGCAGGAATAAAATGGTAGCCAAATTCCTTCAGTATTTGCACATTTAAAAAAAATGTGGTATTGACCGAAAAGAGGGGAAAAACTGTACAGCTTTGTTTCCTAATTCTTTGAAAAGAATAACAGTAACAACAACAAAATTGTTGCTTGGGGACAGGCTATGGACAGAACACGTCAATAAATTAGGAACCATGACTTGCTTAGCTTTATTAACTACTCTACTGTGTAAGAAAACAGCAGGTGAATATACTTGATTTCTTCCACCAGTTTACTTCTTCAACAGATTTGTGCACGTAGTGAAACCTTTCTTTTGCTAGGGGAATAGATGGAGACAGGAAGAGGAAATGTCTTGTTGATACATCAGGTTTTCTATCTGATTTGCTCCCAGTACATGGGAACAACATAGCAGATTGCATGTTGTGTTTAGTAGAGAACATACACATGCATTTAAATCACTTACAGCTTCCTTTTTTATGATGCTATTGTGAATTATGTTCATTTTGCATTTGTAATTAGAGGGCAGAACAGATGTGAAAGCTTAGTTTAAAGTGATGTGTCCATTAAAATAACCTAGACTGCTGAGTAATTGTTCACTGTAACGGGGGAATGTGCCCATTGTTTTTATTCCAGTGAAATGTATGGAAAGGACACGAGCCTTCAGCAAATGTTGCTCAGATGGTGGAAGTTCCTGAAGCAGGGTTGTACGAGAGCAGGTTTTTGTTTGTTTTGGAGGAAAAAAGTGATGCCAGCAGCACCGTATCTTATTCTGGTACAAAGCATCAGACCCACAATTTAGATTTGTAATAAGTTCAATGCTTTTCCCACAAGAAAGGTTTTATTTTCCCAAGCAGGACTTCTACTGGCTACAGCACTTAGGCTACAAAATATTTTAAATTGTTAACTATTAGGCTTTTCATTTTGAACTGAGACTAAACAAGGAGTCGGATTTTGATCAAAGACAGCTGCCCTGTAATCTGTAGTTATGCTTGATCGAGATAGGCTCTGACAGCCAACATAACAATAGACAGACCATTCTTTAACATATTAACCCTTGTGACCTAATTAGCCATCCAAAAAATGCAAATAAGATCCTCAGCAACCTTTTTAACCATTCGCTTCTCAGTGACGCTTGATTTTCCTTTTTCCTTTTGCAGTGCCACTGCACTTGTGTTAAAATTTTAAAGATGTTCAGCCTTTCTGCAGAACAGATGCGCACATTAAGCGCTTGCTCGGCTCTAATTGAAAACCTCTGTCTTTAGCCACCAGCGCTCACAGCAACATTCGCAAGCTCAAGGTTGAAGATCTTGGCTAAACAGAATGTTAACCATCCCGACCGCATCGTTTGCACATTTGCTGATGATCACTAAAAACAGCTGAAATTGTAAACAGGGAATAGGGGGTGGGGGTGAGGGAGCGGAGGAAGAAAGGCTGAAATCACGGTGCCCTGTTTGCTGCCACAAGGAGCTCTGTCTTTCTTTGAGTCATTCCAAAAAAAGCTTAAAAGGGATAATTCACAGAATGCAATAGTAAACACAATAATGAGAATAAATCCCTACCAGCACGTTGTTGTTTTTAAGTGGCGGTAGGCTATTTGTGCATGCTGCTGGTACTACTATAGCCTCAGCATGCCTCTTCTTCATTTTTCCCTTCTGAAAGTGAAGTTGAAACACCCTCTGAAAGTAAACCATGGGGTTCCAGTCATGGAAGTTCAGATCAATGTCTGTACTGGAAGGTATGAATTCAGTTTGCAGTAAATCCCAGTGTTTGCATAGTCAATTTTTGTCCCTAATTTTTTTCTGGTTATGTGCTCATATGCAATGGCTGTAACAGCCCTTCCAGTTCTGTCATAGAGTGACACCAAGTGAAATCAGTGTATGGCTGCCTGTCTCCCTGTGGAGGCCCTTTCCTTTTTCCTTCTTGTCAGTTCCCCATTCAGTGCCTCCCACTGACACTTCTGCTCTGAGTGCACCCTGTTCTGCCACAGGATGAACAGAAAGCCTTCTGCCCCAGCTTGTCTGCGATTTCTTCATCTCATAAGCTCAGATACCTCGTGTCCCTGTTTCTCTGACCTTTATAATGGAGTCACACAGTGAAGAGTTGTGGGATAAGAGCCTGATGTTCACTCAGCATGTGTTAGTTTAAAGTGCTCTGTCACTGAAGTAAACATGAAGAGCTCTGCAGTCTAAATTGTTGATGTGTCTGTTTTCAGACTCACAGAGGCATGCATTTCTTCAAATTTCTTATGTATGGAAAAGCTTACATATTGCAGGCACAGAGCATGACGACGCTTCACTGGTGTTCACTGTAGACAACAGCAGAGGAAGTCTTGTAAGAAGTACAGAACAAATGAAGGCATGATCAGCAGCAGCTTGTGTGTGCGACCCTCACACATATCTCCAGAGATGCTTGTCTTTTTTTATTTATTTATTTTTTTTTTGAGAGAGAGAGAGAGAAAGCATTCACCTTTGTACATTTTTTTGAAGAGGGAGGTCTCGCTTGGTGGTTTTTTTCCTGGCTAAAGATTTATTTTTCCTCTCCTTTTTATGAACCAGTGGCTGAAAACGCTGATAAAACGGCATGATTTGAAAGGACTCCGAGATCTCATCTCTGGCAAGAAAATCACCGGAGTGTCTTCAGCTGAAGGCATCTGTGATTTCCACCATGAGGTTCGTGACACCCGTGTGTACCCATCGGGCAGTCGCTGCTGCCATCACAGTTCCTGGGCTCCTTTCTCCTGCTCTCCAGGAGCAGTGGCAGCAGGGAGCTCAGCGGGAGCTCATCTGCCTGGCTGTCTGCGGGGTGGCTCTGCCTCCGCGCTGCTGCTGGTTTAAAACCGGCTTGGGCTGTGGGCAGAACTCGCAGTCTTTGTTGTGACTGCAGCTCAGACACATATTGTGTTTCTTTGCCTAAAAGAACAGAAGACAAATGGGGGGTTTGCTGCAAATCTGCATTAAGAGGTTTATTCACTCTAAGTGTTAATGATAACTGGAGAAAAATAACGTGCCAGAGTGTGGTTGCAGCTTACGCTGTCAGAGAACACATCTCATCGCACCTCTGACCAACACAGCTGTGCTGTCAGAACAGGATGGAGTTGGCCTTCGTATGGAGATGAATGAAAAAAGAGGTAGCAACCGTTGGCAAACACAGGCAGCAGTGCTGAGTTCCTGCCTGATCACGGCTGTGGCATTATACAGCTGATGTCCCACTGACAAAGTTCTGCTCCTGTCACGAGAGCATTTCACCTGCTCAGCTACTTGGGCATTTCAGGCTGCAGTCCCACAGAGTGCTCAGACCACCTGTGTGCTCCTTTGCTTGTGCAGATTTAAGTTTAGTACAATATTTCCCACAGAAGGAAGATGATAACTTGCTTGTTCTGTGCGATAGTGCGCAGAAGGTGAGTGGACTACAACATTAATTTTTAGACTGCAACAGGGTTAGGTACAGCTCTGTAGCTCTGCCAGCCTTAGAAGAGCCAAAATCTGCCAAGACATTCACTGTTGCCATTTCATTTCCCCCTTTCATTTTTTTAAAGGCTGAATTGGATTAAAGAAAAATGAAAATGAATTGCTGCAGTAGTGTGCCGAGTCAACTCTCCTTACAAGTTTCTTTTGTAATCAAAGGGTCTAACTTAGCAGCATGTTCCTAAGGTTTTGTTGTTGCTGTTGCTACTTCCATGTCATAGCCACAATTAACTGTAGAGATAGTTAATTATGGAAAAGGCAGCAGAGGAGGCAAGAGCACAAGGGCTGTGTGCATCTCTAGGGGGAAACACCCTGAGGAAAATAGCAGTAATAAGTGATAGGGAGCCATCGTCTGTTTAAAGATACTGTTGGAGGTCAATAGCACTTCCACTTGGGACCCTCAATGCATGATTTCAGATTGCTCAAGAAGCAAATGGAAATATTCTTTATTCTTGCTACTTTGATGGCTTGTAAAGAATGCCAGTGCTCAACATCAGCTCCATCTTATGGTCAGCCTACTTCTGGTGGCCCTGGCCTCCCCCAGGAGCTAGTCCAGATCCCAAGGAGATGCTGCAGCTCTGCTGCAGAGTGGGTCAGTCCTCACAGACCTGACAAGGTGCATGCAGGTAAAAGAGGGTTGCCAACTGTCCCCGTGTGATGAGTTTCTGGACCCTGATTACCCATGTATGGGGAGTGCTGCTGCAATCACAAGGGGAAAATAAAGTTTGTGGTAAGCTGGTTTTCACATTGGGAAGAGAAACAGCACTAGAGCTGCTCCTTGCAACAGATGGGGAGAGGCCTTTTTGCCTCTCCTCACCATTGCAGAAGGCGAGCTGTCCTGTTCCTCTTGCCTATAGGGCTGACTGGCAGCTGAGCCTTGGGGCCACCAGACAGCAGGGAGGCTGCCAGTGTAGAGCTGCCTACGACTCCTCTGCAGAAGATGACAGATTGAATGCCCAGCACTAAGCATTAGGCATCTCGTTGGCCTCTAATTCCACTGGCAATGCCTATGGGGAGATGCAACTTGGGCCTTTCTGAACTGCGTGTTTTTGCAGGGAAATTTAGTCATCGTGGGGGAGTAGTGTTCTGCTACAATAATGTTGAATATGTATTTATCTTTAGTTATTTCCTTTTTGTTCCTGGATTTTCTAATCTTCTCTATTTTATCTCTGCTTTGTCCTGGACTAAATGTTTATCTCGTTTTTCAGTTGCTCCTGAATTACCTAACAATGTCTGTATGGCAAATCCTCAGTTCTCTTGGAGTGCAAAGAGCAGAGAGACAACTAATTCCAGAACGGTGAGGTCCAAAGTAGAAGAAGTACGAAGCAAGAGCACATGAACCTTTCCAGCCCAGTGGAAGGAGGCTCTCAACCATCAAACAGTGGTGTTTTCTTACAGCAGTGTATTCATGGCTCACCCAAATTTTCTCATGTAATACAACCACAAATATATTTCCCAAAAGAGAATACTCAAACTACAGATGCTCTTGGAATTTAGTGGTGTTTTTCTGTATTATTATCCATGGTGTGCCAGCTTTACACTTCATGTGTAATGGAGCCAGTACTGAAAGATTCAGCAACGTTGAAAGCTAACTCAGCCCACTCCCCTTATCAGTGGCCTGTGAGCTGGGAGGAAAGGTGCATGTTCCTGACACACCGACAGTGACAATTGCCAGCTGTCTCAAGGATGATCAGATGCCATTTTCAGGCTGTGGAAAGGAAAGCAATCTGGTTGCTTGCATAATACAGAACAAGAGTCAAACAACTGGTAATCCCAGGAGCAAGAGATGTCCATCTTTACAGCTGTTTCTGATGTGATTTAGGTTTTGGATGGGAAAACTTTTCCTTCCCTTTTCCTTCCCTTTTCCTTCCCTTTTCCTTCCCTTCTCCTTCCCTTCTCCTTCCCTTCTCCTTCCCTTCTCCTTCCCTTCTCCTTCCCTTCTCCTTCCCTTCTCCTTCCCTTCTCCTTCCCTTCTCCTTCCCTTCTCCTTCCCTTCTCCTTCCATTCTCCTTCCCTTCTTTTTTTCTTAACCTTGAAGTACCACACTGTAAATGGCTACAGAACCAAAATCTTCAACAAGTGGTATGCATCTGATTTTATTAATAAGACCTTTCCTGACAGTTACAGTAAAAGGGTGTTGTCCTCTCGTGCATTTTTCAAATGTCCTCTTGGTTTTTGAATACTGCTGTATAACTGCTGCTTCCCCTGTTATTTTTCTGTTTCATCACCTCTCATTGACAGTTGTTTTGATATTTTCATTGACCTGGCATTTCTCACAACAGCTAGAACAAAAGTGATTTGCTTTAACTGTAGGAGGTACCACGAATTAATAGCTAACTTTTCTTATTGTGTTCCTGTGGGAAGACAAGCAATCTTCTTTTCTGGGTAACACTTCTACCTTGGAATATTTCAGAAACCTATCAGAGTGAGCAAGAACAGCCCTGGACACCTACAGTGTCTCAATCAGAGGGGTGACAGACGTTGCAATAGCATACAGCCCGTCTTCAGTATGCTGCTGTCAGTCACTGGTGACTGAAGCTATTCGTGGTCCATAATAATGCACAGCTGCTCTGCAGGAGAAATACCAAAGCTAAACAAACACTGTGCAGCACTAATTATTTCATTTGGTTTTGGCATTCTTAAAGTTCTGATAAATTCATTTTAAATAAGAGAGATTGTTTTTCTTTCCAGTATAGTGAAGGGATTTCATGGGTTGTGTAACCTTCTTCCAAGCAAATCATACTTTTTGTGGACTTCTCCAAGACTGTTTGCTGAGACTTGTTGTGATGTTTACTGCTGACCATTTGGAAGCACAACAGAAAATGATGGGGGTTAATTTCTCTCTATGAAGTACACTGTAAGTTTGAAAAAAAATGAAAGCAGGGAACAGCTAAGTGAGAATTATCTTTTATATATAATGTGTTCACCAGTTTTCTGGGCAAAAGTTTATATATAATACCATTGGGAGGGCAATTCCTTCAGGAGAGCTTTTGGATATAGAAGGGTTACTACTGTTGGCCAGTCTTGCTCTTGACTACTTTAGAATGAGGAATATGGTAGAGTCCCCCAACTCTACATACTGCAAATGAGAGCTTGGTCAGAGTCCCTGGTAAGGAGTTAGCATTTGATTTCAGAAGAAGCATGACTGGCTCTAGGTAATGAGGAAAGCAGTTACCTCTCTCTGCTAGAAAAACAGCCTTGGGAAGAAGACTGTCCTCTTTGGGACTGAATTCGTGCCCTTTTGGAGTCCGTGCTGCAGTCCTCAGTAAAATTGGGACTAATTTATTTATTTATTTTTTTTGGTGGGGGGGGGGGGGGGGGCACTAATACTCAACCTATTTTATTTTTTTTTTAATGAAGAAGGAAAAGAAAAAGCCTTCCTCTCCCCTCTTCCATATACTCATGCAATATGCCCACTTGCACATCAAGTGTTTTCAGTAACTCTTATTTCTTGCCTTTGGGCTTGATTTCAAAATATTCAAATATATTTGGCTTTTGTAACTTTCACTAATTAAACCATCTAAAGCAGATGGAATTACAGAAATTACAGGGTTTAAAATATCATCCTAATTGGTTTACGATCTATGTGACACTACAGTGCCATTCAGACTGTGTAATGTATAAGGACTGCACAAAAGAGAAATCTTGCCAATTAATTTTCTTAAACTCCATTATCTGCAGTTTTCCCTTCCTTATAATCCCTTTTCTGCTAAGCTTTCCCTGATATTTTTCTAGCTGTGGGAAAGCATCCCATAAACATACTGGGACTTATCTTATTTGTAAAATCATGTTGAAGAGAATTGAATGAATAGGTAAAAGAAAAGGTGAATGGAATGAGTGAACTTCAGAGGAACCAACAGCTAGATGATGCAGAGTTTCAGAACGAGCAGAGCACACATCATAAATGCAGAACCATCGTCATGCACTCTGACACATTTTGAGACGATGGGGATTAGAGAATGGGTAGAGGAGGACTCTGATTTCCAAATGTGCGATCGTGTGAAGTTACAACAGTGCTGTGCTTTTCTTCCGCAGGAAGAAAAAAAAAATGAATAAAAATCTTTCTGTTTCTTTAAAGTATCTCATTTTGCCATTTAGATATGATTTTTAACTCGCTATTCCCTTTTGTTGCCATGGTAACAGTTTTTTGGCCCTCACGGTGACGGAAAAGTATCTCAGTTCTTGTTCCTCTTCGAATGCATATGTTTCTGTGTATAGCAGTGCAGGCAGAGGGAAGGGAGGTGTGAGGAGATCACACCTTCCAGAGCAAGGTAACTGCTTGTGCCAAGAGCGGCTGCAGCTGAAGACACAGCCTGCAGCAGGGATGGCTTTCCCTCCTCCAGCCCCATGCAGACTCATTCAGACTTTGGTTTCCGTGCTTCCAGATAGACTTGCTCCTCTCTCCGCTCCCCCGGTGCTCCCCTGCTCCTAGGTGACATTTCAGGGGCTTTTTATGTAGGAGGGAAGTGTTTGAACGAGATCTGTTTTAGGGGATTCCTATGGAGCTGGCTGTTAGCATCTTTCAGCATTGCGGGGGTCAATTAAAGAGAACCAATCATCTGGTTTTAAAGCTTTAATAATAAAAAACAAACAAGCAAACAACTGAATAGAATAGAAAAGCGAGAAGGAAGGAAGGAAAAAAGAAAAAGTGGACAAAAAGTAATGTTAAATAGCATGGAGCATGACTAATGGCACAAGCATGTTAAAATCATTGGGAAAATGTCCTTGGAAGACAAATGAATTTTCAGCAGAATAATTAACTTAATTAACAAATTTGCATGCATATTCATCAGGCTATTGAAGTCTTTCCAGCACAGCTTGATGAGCATTGGTGTAATAATTGTCTCATTTACATTCTGCAATCTACTACAATTTGGGGCATGCAAAAAAAGACGACCTCTTTCCTTTGACTTTCTTTAGGACCCTGACCCTCTTAATAAACACATGCAAACAACATGTAGTGTCCATTGGATAGCCCTGCCTTCCACCCTTTATAAGAAACCTGCTCCCACTCTGCCACGTTTTCCTTCCTTTCACTCCCCTCTTCCTTTGCTTTATTTTTTTTTTTTTCCTTTGGCCCAGGTTCTCTGTTTTGCCTCTGCTTGCTCTCCTGGGTAAATCTTGGCACCAGTTCTGACTTCAAATCTCCTGGGCCGCCAGACTGCATCATGTAAAAATTGCCATTTTCCTCTATCTCTGCAGGGCAATCTTTAAAGGCAGTAAGGTGTGACGCTCCAGACTGGCAGCTTGGCAAGAAAGAGCCCATGGATACCAGCACACAGGAATCTGGAGGGTTCACTCTGACAGGCAGTCAGTACTGGGAACAAAAGGAATTAAAAAAAAAAAAAAAGAAAGAAAGAAAGAAAAAAAGAGAGAGAAGCAAATATATTTTTACATATTGCAGGCATATGGCCACAAGACCAGAAGAAATATATTTAATTACTGATCTTGTGCATTAAGCAGAAATAATGTACTAACAGCAATAATCTCCTTATTTTTTCCCCTTAGATTACAAAAAAGTAAATGAAGGCAGTCCTCTAGAACACAGTTTGATAATTGTGTTATATCTCAGCTCCATTTACGCTTTTTACCCCAGTTTTACAACCATTTGGAAATAGAATCTAGTCACCTGATATTAGACTATCAGAATTATTTTATCATTATTTTATTTTTTGGGCATGGATGGACATTTTAAAATGAAACTCTGTCATCTACCAACCTTTTTGTCGTTCCTGCGAGGCTCACAGCTACAGTGAGATGCAAAAGCAAGCTATGTTGTAACTGAATTGATCTGTAAGTGATTGTGTGTGAATGTTATGCGCCAAGTTACAGTTTCAGTCTCACTGTGGTATGTTTCAGGCTGTGAAACAATACTGCACCAGCTATTTTCCTCAGAACCTACAATCACATTCAAAATATTTTCCTTGACTGCTGGCTAAAAGGTCCGCTGGTGAAAAAAGGGATGCCTAAAGCAGGGTTGTTGTGGAAGGTAAACATGTAAGTTGAGTGTTAGAAAGAAAAATTCCTTAACCTGTTAGTTTTGCTACGCCATCATTTCTGAGGTGGCCCCATTTGGACCAGAAGTGCACTTGCATCCTGGCCCACACTCCAAGCATGTCAATATCAATTTCCAGCTTATTTAAGCATGAGCATGCAGGTATCTCAGTGTTCCACTCTTTCAGTCTCTTCAATGGTTTCAACCAGAAGAGATGTTATGAAAGTGCCTCGTGAATGCAAACGGGACTGGGCCTTTCAGGAAGTTCTGTTGTGGCCATTTCCTCCTAAAATAACACTGCTGAGTTTTTCTTATTTGGCAAACGAGAGTCCTCAGCCTGTGGCAATCAATTCCCTCCTCAACATGATGGGATTCAAACCCATCATTACCCAAGCAAATGCTCTAGCCAACAGATTATGATGTTCTTCACCCCTCCTGGTGAAGTCATGCTGTCATCTGTAGGCACTGCACAAATACAAATGTTATATACTATAAAAGCAATGGGGTTATCTCAAGAACATAAACAGAACTGACTCAGTTGCTGTGGGTGAATTCCACCATCAAAGTATGACAAGTGTCGATTAGAAAACATTTTCTTCCTCTGTGAGATGTGTTCAACTGCATTGCCCTTCTTATTGTTGGCGTTGTTTGTTTCCCACTAGGCCTCTTGTATGAACACTAGTAGATTAGTTTGTCAAAGATGTCCTCATTTGTTAGGATATTTATGGATGACCCAAGTGCAAAATATACTGCTAACACTTAACAAAGGGAAGATATCAGCCAAGAGTTACAGCGTTGTCTTGTTTGGCTTATAGGGAAGAGTTTCAGGCCTTTGTTTCCTCTGCATGATGTAGCATTTTCTTATCAAGTTCTGTATTCTTCCTTCAGAAGTATTAATGAATTTCCGAAAAACTTTCATGTAAAGCCATTAGTCAGCTTTGCAGTTAAAATTTGTTTAAAACTGAGTCATTTACACAATTTAGCCTCTGTATCAGTCTTTTCTTTGTCCCTCATGGTCTTAGTAATACAGTAACAGTCATTTAAAACTTGTCATAGAAAGCTAATTCAAATCTCATGCTTAGGCTGTAATTAAGTTATCAACACTTACTGTTTCTAACTATTATGGAGTATAGATAGGCCTTGGATAACAGCTTTTATAACGAGTTTCTATATTATGACTAATTCTATAGGTAAATCTGAAGTTAATTTGCTTCCAACAGTCCTACTGATTTTGGTGGCTTCAAGGAAAATCCATGCCAAGAGAGGATTGTTAGGTCTACTTGTCACCAACCTTTAATATTCCATTGCCACATGAAGAGCAATGATTTGAAGACTCTTGCAATGCTGCTGCATTTGCATTCCTGCAAATTGAGACAATGACACTAGTGAGAACTGAGGTGGAATCAGAGTGAGAAACCCTGAAGGACAGAGGTATTGAGATATATGTACTACTCTGCATGATTAAGTCATTGAAACAAGCCTAATTCAGTCCTGTGGTCACGAAGGGAAAAGCCTTTAATGTTTTTGAAAAGATCTTTATCTTTGAAAAGATAATCCATTGAATCTAATCTCAGTGACAGACAACGAGAAGATAACGAAGAATGTCATTTTGGGGCAAGGTTTTTTGTTTGAGTACCCTAACTGGAATTCTTATTTTGATAAATTAATCTATTAATAACGGACATCTGGCATATATTCTGAAGACAAGAGGAACACTTTTTAGTTTTTACTTATTAAAAGTTTTATCTTCTTTGAACTCTCAAAGACTAGACAGAAATATAAACATTGGCCAAGCGTTTATTTTGATACAGAAATAACAATTGTTATTTCGGGATGCTGTAACATTTCTCAAAACATTAAAAATGTGTTATGTTACTTTGAAATTAAAATCTCAGTTAATAGAAAAATCAGGACATTTTGTACTGAAATTTTGAAGAAAGCCTTTCAAGTGTTCAGGAAAAAAAGCACTTTTTTCAGATGAGACTGTTCACTGGCTTCAACAAGACAGTGAAATGGGTTCTGTGTCTTTTTATGGTTTCCAAGCTACAGTTTTAATGCATTTTCTTTCCAGAGAAACCAAATTCCCAGCCTGAAATCTGAGGCTGTCAGACCTGCCCACCACAAAATTAGAAGCGTGCTGGGGACTGGGCTGGAGCTTGGTATTTCTCTATTTGTCCCAACAGCACATTGCAAATCCATGGCTCTAGCTTTCTTTCTCCTACACTTGCTCAGAGAAAAAGAAAACAATGATTTGCTCATTTTATGTAACTTGAAGTAAACACCACC